TTTATATACTTACATCTCTNCTTTTAGAATCAAGAATAATTGTAGGTTTATATACTTACATCTCTGTCGATCAATACCATCTCCAAACTGTAAATGTCATCGATTTTTCCAAATGTAGGATTTTCCCAAAGTCCAACAACGCGAACACGGAATGCCCACTTGATTTTGGTAGGAACGATATCTGTGAGCATATTTATTATGGGAGCCATCTTACCGCACATAGAAATAAAAAAGCTAAGCTTTAACTTAGATTGCGAAAACAACAAATGAAGGAGATACCGGTAAAAAAAAATAACAGGGGCGGTCGCTTACATGAGAGAAGATCCTGATGATGAACGAAAATATATGAGAAACACTGAGAGTTGAAAACGCTGATGTACAACACTTTTTGCGAGGACAAAATTGGTTTTAAAATGTGTTTTGCTTTTTTCGATCGTGTCAATCAAATTAGTGATTATCCTGCAAATCCTGCAAAATATCATGAAAAGTATGTTTGGTAGGGGGTTGGGTGGGAGGGGAGGGATGGGATGGGATGGGGTGGAGTGAAGTATGGGGGAGTTGAAAAATTGAAAAATAGAGATGTAAAAAAGCTTGCAAATATCCTGACATGACGAAGTTTAAAATTTGAAAAATGGAGATGTGAAAAAGCCTACAAATATTCTGCAAATATCCTGACACGGCGGAGTTGAAAAATTGAAAAATGGAGATGTGAAAAAGCCTGCAAATATCCTGCATTTAGAAAATAAAATAAATAAAAAAATTTGAACAGCAATTGAGAAAATAAAATGAATAAAAAAATTTGTCCGGCGGGAACAATGTGCAGTGCAGTGGCGCGGAAGAATGTTGCTACTATCCTTCTTTAATATAGTATAAGATTCAGCTAGTTTTTGTAATGACTAATGAATTAGCACAAGTATTAAAGACCTACCGGCTATGTACATTATTTGTACGTAACCAGTAATGATACCAGCGTAGTACGTTATTATGTCTATTAGTATTTAGTTAAAATCAAATTATTAGCAGATTTTAATAAAAATTGATGAAATATATGATTAAAAAGTTGTGAGTTCTATAAAATTAATTATTGGTTTTTACTTTGATAAAAAATTGAGTTTTATACCCCACCAAAAGGGGCATGAAATTGTTTTTGTGTGTGAATTATTTATTAAAAATGGTTGATGAGATATTATATACGTATGAAACGTAAATATTTGCTTGAAATGCTACTTACGGTCATTTTTTTGTTTTTATTTTAGGAAACTCAATTATTTACGTGAAAGATTGTGAGTTTTATTGAACCACTTGATCTAAAATAAGCTATATATATCGTTTAAATCTTACTTTGAAAAGTGCATGTTTTTGTAAGTTCTATTAGACTGATTTTTGTAATTATATGTTGGTGGGTATTATGGAATGCGTGTTTAAATAAGATACAAAAGTTGTGGATTCAATTAAATATATTAAAAATGAATCTTTAAAAAAGCTTTTATTGAACAAAGGCTCAAAGAGTAGTTGGATAATTATCAAATTCTTGAGGCATGGTGTTTTTAAATCTCATTGGCTATCCCGAAGTATATCTATAATATATTAAAGGCTATTTATATTACTATCACAAAATTTAATNCGATTCAATATATTTTTTATTGCCGATCAGACAAACTAACTCATAGAAGCACAAAAAAGAAAATATTTATAAAATTTATAAAATTTTCAATTTATTTCATTTTTTATATCTAAACTAATGCATTAAAAGCACACAAAACCACATAAATATAAGAATGACACAAACACAGACACACAAAAAAATGAAAACAAAAATAAAATAAAATAAAAACTAATGTTTTCGATCCCTAAATTTAAACTAGACATTGTCCTCAATATCTTAAATTCTAAATCTGCATATAAAGGGGTGTGGAAGAAAATGAAGAAAAAGACTCCCCTGATATGGCTTTTAATCCAATGGCTAGCTTCCTATTACTCATGTTAGCTCCTTGGTCTTGGGTGGTTTAAGTGTTTAGAGACATCATATTCCTGCAAAATACAGTCAAATAAAATATTACGATCAATTAACTCGAACAAGTGTTACTTAACTCTAACATCTAATAAACTACTAACACATCGATTATCTAAGGGGAAACGTGGCGTGGATGATGAGTCCCTAAAATTGAAAAAAAAAAAAAAACTCCCAATATAATGAAAACTAAAAATGAAAAAAATAAATGTGTGATGTACACATTCTTCCAGTATTGATAAAACAACAATCTTAATAGTCTCAGCGAAGGAGACTACTCCCGACGAATGAGAAAGCTTCAAATAGAGGTGTATTCCACGGTGGATTGCCGCTCTTTCGCATATGCTTGTGACTGTTATTTGGAATTTGGTAATTGCTACAACTTTTTCAAAACTGGAACATCAGTTCCTCTGCATTCCCTTCAAGCACTACAAGAAGACGATCCGCACAACCATCGTATCGTCGAGAAAGAGATATCCGCCGCCATCTCCAATGTATCTGTAGCCGCCGATTCTAATCTCTCCCACGACAATGCCGTTCACCAATTAAATTCTCTTGTATCCATTTACAAGGCCTCAAAATAAAGATATGGAACAATCTATTTACGAGTATGTACAATCCTCACATTGGTCTTCGCTTTCCATATTCTTGTTGGGTTTTTGGTTTTATGTTTCTGGACAAGGAAAAATAGTAGTGTCGAATCATGTTCAATTTTTAGGATAAGTCAAAAGAAAGGTATAATACTCTCTGTTTACATGTATGTATAATCTTCCAATTGCATACCTTTTTTTCCATATTGTTTTCTATGTCCGAAATACACTTTGGAATAGTATTTTTTATGCAAAATGTGTAATTAAAAAATAAGGAAAAATTTTGAGTTTGCGTGTAATATTATTTTATTAAAAAATGTGTGGTTGAAAATGTGCTGGACGAGAAGAAATTCTACGTTCAATTCTGTTGTTGAGATGGAATTGTGATAACCATTAATTAAAACCCCAAATCAATTAAATTACGCAAACAACATAGAGGAAGAAGGAAGGGAATATCTTGAAGTAACCATATTTATTATAATTTTGATAATTATCTTGAACGTGAAATTACAATTCAATTTTGGAGTATACTTGTATTCACAAATCAAATTGACCTGATCTAGAAAGCTATGTTAAAGCTTCCCATAGTTTTCCAAGCAATTCCAAATGTTTGGGCCTAGGAATGGTTTTAGTATCTTGGGACAAATTGCCTTGATCGTAAATTTCTAAAGGTCCAATCAAATTCAGCACGCAATATGATGCGTGAACCATGTTCGCCATTTTGCATTGTTAGAATATTTGGGAAATATAGGTTGATCCGGCGTTGGTAGTATCATTATGGAAATAGAAATGGTTCGCGATGTACTCAACGACTCGTAAAGTGTGGAAGCGAACTTATCATGAAAGAAAAGACTCACTCTAAAGGGTTGTATAAAGGTGCTCTTGGATAGAACTGATGGGAGTGCTAAAACTACATTTTAAAGTATGTTCAAATATAGAGGTGAAGTAGAAATAGTTTAATATTAATTAAGAAATTAAACACTTTGGCCCAGCATGGTCCGCTTCTCTTAACGAGCTTTACTAACTTGACAAGTTTATAAATATTATTATTAGATGAATATGAGCCGAGTTGGTGCAATGCAAATAGTAGTTTAATTGTCAAAGAAAGAATATTGGTCTACCCCTGAATTTCAATAAAGAATTGTCGAACTGATGTAAAGCAAGTTGATTGGGACTGACTGTGTCAGATAACTTTTATTAAAAATATTAATACTTGTAAATATTAATAATAACATGATTTTGATGTTATGTTAAAATAAATTATAATACGAAGTTAATTATATTTATATATAAATTAATTGCAAGCACTATCTACACGTAATTAAGCAAGCCACAATTGCATTAAATATAATCATCGTGGTGGATCAAAACATTTGTTGCATGTCTTGAAGAAAAGGTAATATTTT